TGGCAATCAACTCAAGTATTCTTGCCTGGAAAATCTCATGGATGGAGAAGCCTGGTAGGCTACACTTCACATACAGATGCAGAAAAGAGTAAATGCAAACTCTTGCCATCTAAAAAAGGCATAATATCCAAGGGTAATGAAAATCCTAATCATTTTGACATGTGAAAAAGGCAAAGGTAATCATTCTTTTTTCTTATCTATGAAGTATAATATAACCAAAATTTGAGGAGAAAGGAACCTATAAAATGACTCTACACAACACCAAAGGTAGCCCCTTTGGATCTTAATAATCAGGAGTTAAGACGCTATATTTGAATTTGACTTCTCGGCAACTTCCATTAATAGAAATCCAAAGCATTATAGATGTCCACATTGACTCTCCAGCCTAATCCCCTTTTATTTCCCTATAGGAAAGGCTGTGGTCTTTCCTTATTTCCCAAACATACATTGTGCTTTCCAATCCCTATCCCTTCACTCAAACTCTTCATTAGGGATGACCCTTCCTCACAAACTCCTATTTGAAGAGTCCTGTCCCCAGTATACCACTAGGGCTAACCATCAGTGCATAATCCACTAATCTGTTCTAATAAGACTGATGCTTTTCTCAAAAAACTCAAGATTTTCTCTAATACCCAAAAGTGCATATATTTTTTGTGTATATTGGCCTCTTCAGAGAAATCCTTTGCCTTTGTCTGATGAAAAACATCAGTTAGGAAAGGATCTGTAAAGCATTCTGTACATCTAAAAGTATACATACACACATACATATATTTTTTAAAGGGATTAGATCTAGTAAACTGTGCGCCTGAAGAACTATGGATGGAGGTCCATAATATTGTATAGGAGGCAGTGAACAAAACCATCCCAAAGAAGAAAAAAAGCAAGAAGGCCAAGTGGTTATCTGATGAGGCTTTACAAATAGCAGGAGAAAGAAGAGAAAAGAAAGGGAGAAAAGGTACATCCATCTAAACGCAGAGTTCCAAAGAATAGCAAGGAGAGAAAAGAAGGCCTTCTTCAATGAACAGTGCATAAAATTAGAAGAAAACAACAGAAGTTAAAAGACTAGAGATCTCTTCAGGAAAACTGTAAACATCAAGGGAACATTTTGCCCAAAGATGGGCACAATAAAGGACAGAAATGGTAGAGATCTAGTAAATGCTGAAGCGATCAAGAAGAGATGGAAAGACAATATGGTGGAAAGAATACATGGAAGAACGGTACAAAAAAGATCTTGATGAACAGGATAACCATGATGGTGTGGTCAGTCACCCAGAGCCATATATTCTGGAGTATGAAGTCAGTGGGCCTTAGGAAGCACTGCTGTTAATAAAGCTAGTGGATGTGTTGGAATTCCAGTAGAGCTATTCAAAACTCTAAAGGATGATGCCACCAAAGTATTGCATTCAATATGTCAGCAAATCTGGAAGACCCAGCAGTGGCCACAGAACTGGAAAAGATCAATCCTCATCCCAATTCCCAGGAAGGATAGTAATAAAGAATGTTCTAACCATCAGACCATTGCACTCATCTCCCATGCTAGTAAGGTCATGTTTAAAATCTTGCACGCCAGGCTTCAGCATTCTGTGAACCAAGAACTTCCAGACATCCAAGCTGGATTTAGAAAAGGCAGAGGAACCAGATGAACCCAAACTCAAGGGGATTCCAGAAAAAAACCATCTACCACTGGTTCATCAACTATGCTAAAGTCTTTGACTATGTGGACCGTAACAAACTGTGGAAAGCTCTTAAAGATGGGAAAGCAGACCATCTCACCTGTTTCCTGAGAAACCTGTATGCAGGTCAAGAAGCAACAGTTAGAACCCTGTTTGGAACAACTGATTGGTTCATGATTGAGAAAAGAGTATGACAAGCCTGTCTGCTGTCACGCTGTTTATTTAACAGATTCACTGAGTACATCATGAGAAATGCCAGGATGGATAAGATGAGTTACAGGCTGGAATTAAGATAGGTGGGAGAAATATCAACAACCTCAGATATGTGGATGATATCACTCTAATGGCAGAAAATGAAGAGGAACTAAAGAGCTTCTTGATGAAGGTGAAGGAGGAGAGTGAAAAAGGAGGCTTAAAACTGAATAAAAAAAAAAAACCTAAACTAAAAAAATGGCATCTGGCCCCATTAAATTATGGCAAATAGAAGGGGAAAAGGTGAAAGTATTGACAGATTTCTCCTTCTTGGGCTCTAAAATCACTGTGGAGGTGACTCCAGCCATGAAATCAGAAGATGACTGCTTCTCAGCAGGAAAGCTATGACAAACCTAGACAATGTGTTGAAAAGCATAGACATTATTCTGGTGACAAAGGTCAGCATAGTCAAGGCTATGGTCTTCCCAGTGGTCACATACAGTTGAAAGAACTGGACTATAAAGAAGGCAGAGCATCAAAGAATTGATGCCTTCAAACTGTGGTGCTAGGGAAGACTCCTGAGAGTCCCTTGGACAGGAAGGAGATCAAATCAGTCAATCTTAAGGGAAGCCAACCCTGAATACTCATAAGAAGTACTGATGCTGAAGCTCCAGTATTTTGGTCACCTAATCTGAACAGCCAACTCATTGGAAAAGTCCCTGATGCAGGGAAAGATTGAGCATCAGAGGATGAGATGGCTGGATGGCATCACTACTGATGCAATGGACATGAACTTGGGCAAAATTCAAGAGATGATGAGGGACAGGGAGGATTGGCATGCTACAGGCCAGAGGGTTGCAAAGAGTTGGACATGACTGGGTAACTAACACAACACATATATTTATTGATATATGAGTGTTTTGCAGTTTACAAGTGAAAACTGTTAATATTATTGCTTTTACTATCACCATCATAATTTTCCAAGATGCCTCCTTTCCTTTCCATTATTACCACCTGTTGTTTTTCACCTGCAACATCAATAGGATTTAATTGCTTGAAATAAATTAGGAAAGTTTGGAATACTGAAAAAGGAACTGGAGAGCTGGCATTACAGATAGGCATTATATTCACAAGGGACTTTTAATAGTAGATTTGGCAGTCTGATTTTAATCAGTTTTTTGCACAAGGGAATATTTAAAGATAATGTTGAGGAAACATTTTTCTGGCTGAACTATGCAGTATGGTTTGGAGCAGAGAGCTAGGAAATCATCATGTGTGCTAAGCCACTTCAGTCATGTCCAAATCTTTGAGATGCTATGGAATGTAGCCTGTCATGCTCCTCTGTCCATGGGATTCTCCAGGCAAGAGTGCTGGAGTAGGTTGCTATGCCCTCCTCCAGGGTATCTTTCCAACTCAAGGATAGAACCTGTGTCTCTTACATCTCCTACATCTCCCGCATTGGCAGGCAGGTTCTTTACCACTAGTGCCACCTGGAAAGCCCCAGGAAACCACGATACAGCTATCAAATAACAACAATAGAAAGAGCAATGAGGAGGATATGAATTAGTTGGAAGAGGAGTGGATATAAGAGAAAGAGGAGGAGGAAGAGATATAGCATTTGTAGCTAATATTTACCAAATACTATATACAAAAACACTAAAGATAATTACCTTTCACAATATTTACAACAGTTTTCAGCATTGGCATTATCTCCATTTTGGAGATAAAGCAATGAAAGCTGTGAGTAGTTGAGTTTAGTACACAAGGTCACAGTAAGTTTTATCTGAAATATAAATCCAGGCAGCCCAACTCTAGAGTCTAAATTTGAAACTACTCTGCTGAATAATTTAGACATATGATTTCTCTGAGGCTGCTATACACCCATGATGGCCCAAGATAAGATTAACTCAATAGTATTTTGATAAAATCTCACTTGAGGACTGTCAATTCGACAATACAGACAATTGAGAATATATTTGTATCTTCCTACTGAGGACTACTATAAACACCAAAGATATATACTACAACAGTAGGTTGAAAGGGATTAAAACCAGAAAATATGGAAACCAAGAAGAATCTAAGAACTTCAGAACTCAGGAGAGAGAGTTCATATCAATGCTCAAAAGTAGCTAAACAGAAACTGTTTACAATCAAATCTGGGTTTAAGATATCAATCTAATACACTTCTTATAAGTGACTATCAAATTTTCTAATTGAGTGTTGGTATATCCTACCTTGGATGATAATATATTTTTAAAACACCCATAAACTGTGAACTCATACATAAACAATTTAAGTTTATATATACAAGGAAATTTACAAATGAATCTCCCAGTGCATTTTCCATACCTGCCATGGCTAACTATATGTAACAATTATTTCTGTTATGCTCTGTGACTGAAAATTAATAAATCAGTATCTCTTTGATGAACTATATCCATATTCTAACAGTCCCTCTGTGTATTCACTTGCAAATTTTTCTCATTTGTAAGACACATCTTTAGTACACTGGTAAATCGATCATAAGAAACTCTCTGGTAAACAGGTATACCCCCTATGAAAAATGAGAAAAAAACAAAAATTCCTACTGTTTAATAGCTCTTACACACTAGCAAAAACACAAAATAACTTATAACTGTCCACTGATAACTTGGACATCATATACCATCTCTCTCTCTCTCTCTCTCTCTCTCTCTCTCTCTCTCTCACACACACACACACACACACACACACACACACACACACAGAGTTTAAACAGTACAGGAGAGAAAGGATAGTGTTTCCAACTATCAGGACATCTAAAATGCCAGAGCCAAAAGAGATGAGGTGCTAAAACTTTTACAGAACAAACTTAAATAGTCTCCATGCAAAGCCAAACAATTAGCCATCCAGATGTTTCCAGCTGGGTAATTAATGTACAGAAAAGATCCCATTTGACTCAGTTTTGTTCCACATTACAGGCAGTTGTTAATAGCAGCAATTCCAAAGCAGTTTAGTAACTATACTTTGAATTATAAAATTATAAAGGTGAGTATATCCATCTTATCATATTCAGTTCTTAGCATTATAACAAATTATTTTTTACTTAACATATCTCAATAGATTCTGTTGTTGCTATTACTATCATTTTCTTACCTGATCTTCTCCTTGCATAGCTTGCTCTTCAACTTTGTCCTAAAGGGGAAAAATAATTTATGAAGAAAATACAGCAGAGGAAACAAAAATCAAAATTTTTAAAAAGAAGTTAAGCTGTTAAAAAAGCAAAGATGAGTTAGTAGTAATTTCTGCATAGTGACTTTCAGTTCTACTTCTGTGGGAATTGCTTAAATGCATTAAATAATATTATTTTAGAACAGTTATTTAATCATCTATAAATCAACCTGACTATAATTATTTGCAAGCAACATTTCTACATCTTATAAAATATTTATGTTTGTGAAACTTTGTAAATAAGGCTTTTAAGATCAAACTGTTCTATCTCTTAAGCTTCTGGCATCTCTCTCGTTCAAGCTTACTGATTCATCATCTGAAATATTAATAATATGTATATGTATTTAGTTCCCACTCCCATAACCGGAGATAAAATTCACCTGAGTCTGGAGACTTGTACTCTTGGGAATTTCATTTCTCAGAAAAGCAAACCATGTTAAGAACTCTTTCTCTGGTCCAAATTCTGACTACGAAAGAAATGTTTAAAAGTCACAGTATCCACAGGAAAGAGTGACCATGTTATCTTATAGTTAGTAAGTAGTAATGAAGGAAGGGAATGGTAGTCATAGTCAGACACATGTCTTGCTATTAATAGAATGACATTTCCAGCAGCTGTCCAAATAGCTCAAATCCCCCATCACAACTGTAACTTACCTCAAAGTCAATATAAAAATCGACCAGCTACCAATTCTTGAATTTAACTGTGAATGGACTTGAGGAACTTCCTGCTCTGTAGGCTTTGTAACTATTAAATCACCTATTGAGATAGTTAACATAATTTCCCTAACTTTCAGCTTACCATGCAGTCTGCCACTATAGAGCCAGACATAGAGTGAAATAATTGACCATGTACTAATTTTTAAACTACACATCTTCAGTCTTTATATTTAACTTTACTTTCTATTGATAGGGTGAGAAAAAATGAGACTGTAGGAGACCAAAAATATAAAGTTATTTGAGTTGTATAGCTTTATAATTAGTTAAGAGTTTTCCCTTGGTATGTTGAAGAATATAGAGAAAAATGAACTTCAATTTTAAACATAAACTGGTCAACCACTTGTAAAAGAATGAAACTAAAGCACTTTCTAACACCATACACAAAAATAAACTCAAAATGGATTAGAGATCTAAATGTAAGACCAGAAACTATAAAACTCCTAAAGGTAAACATAGGCAAAACACTCTCCAACATAAATCACAGCAGGATCCTCTATGAACCACCTCCCAGAGTAATGGAAATAAAAGCAAAAATAAACAAATGGGACCTAATGAAACTTAAAAGGTTTTGAACAACGAAGGAAACTATAAATAAGGTGAAATGACAGCCTTCAGAATTGGAGAAAATAATAGCAAACGAAGCAACTGACAAAGAATCTCAAAAATATACAAGCAGCTCTTGCAGCTTAATTCCAGAAAAATAAACAACACAATAAAAAAAAAATGGACCAAAGAACTAAACAGACATTTCACCAAAGAAAACATAGAGATGGCTACCAAACACATGAAAAGATGTTCAGCATCACTCATTATCAGAGAAATGCAAATTAAGACCACACGAGGTACCATCTCATGCCGGTCAGAATGGTTGCTATCAAAAACTCTACAAACAACAAATGCTGGAGAGGGTGTGGAGAAAAGGGAACCGTCTTACACTGTTGGTGGGAATGCAAACTAGTACAGCCACTATGGAGAACAGTATGGAGATTCCTTAAAAAAAAAAAAAAAAAACTGAAAATAGAACTGTCATATGACCCAGCAATCCCACTGCTGGGCATACACACTGAGGAAACCAGAATTGAAAGAGACACCTGTACCCCAATGTCCATCATTGTTTACAATAGCTAGGGCATGGAAGTAACCTAGATGCCCATGAGCAGACAAATGGATAAGAAGGCTGTGGTACATATACACAATGGAATATTACTCAGCTATTAAAAAGAATGCATTTGAATCAATTCTAATGAGGTGGATGAAACTGGAGTCTATTATAATAGTGAGTGAAGTAAGTCAGAAAGAAAAACACCAATATGGTATATTCACGCATATATATGGAATTTAGAAAGATGGTAACAATGTCCCTATATGTGAGGCAGCAAAAGAGACACAGAGGTAAAGAACAGACTTTTGCACTCTGTGGGAAAAGGTGAGGGTGGGTTGATTTGAGAGAATAGCATTGAAACAAGTATATTACCATATGTGAACCAGATTGTCAGTCCAGGTTTGATGCATGAGACAGGGCACTCAGGGCTGGTACACTGGGATGACCCTGAGGGATGGGATGGGGATGGAGGTGGAAGGGGTGTTCAGGATGCTGGACACATGTACACTCATGGCTGATTCATATCAATATATGGCAAAAACCACTACAATATTTTAAAGTAATTAGTCTCCAATTAAAATAAATAAATTTAAAAACTAAAAATATGAAAAGAACCAAGTTATAGAAACAAACTAAATAAATAAACATATATTGGTGGTCAAGCAAAGCAGGTATTATAAAAGTTAACAAATACAAAAATTAGTTGCATAGGCTCCCTTCACAGAACAGAGATTCATCCATTTATCTTTGGGTGAAAAGGCTTAAGTATTTGAGTACTCAGTTTAGATCAACTTCATTAAAATTATAATATAATGAATGAAATGATGATAACCAAAGTGATAATGTTTTAGAACATACTATTAGTTATCCATAACAATTGTATCACAGAAGGCAGAGTAAAACTATGTCTAATTTACATTCATACACAGTCCCAATTATTTTCATATATAGGTATTTTATTTACCAGTACACTTAAGGATATTTCATTAATAATGTAAGCTCCACAAATGCTGCTATTCATTAACACACATTGTTCTGGGATACTTAGTAAATAAATTAACTGATTTTTTCTTTCATATTTAATTTGTTTAAAGTTATTGAAATATAACTTCACTGTACTTGAAAAAAAAACAAAAAATAAACACCATTTTAATGAAAAATTTTGTGCATGTCAGAAAGGTTTACGTTTTCAGATGGGAGACAAAGATTTTTAAATTATATTATTAAATAAGCCTCCAGAAAGGTCACTGCAGGTAAGATTAATACGAATGAGTTGTCTTGAAGCTAAGAAATGAGTTACTTGAACTTTCCTTCTAACTGCTGAAGAGTAAGCCATCTGCTTCATCATCATTTAAATCACATTCCATTCTCATAATTTACAACCATTTGTTACAGTGGTATGGAACTAAGAGGCAAAAGGAAGGCTAAAGGAAACTGTACCTGAGGATATGAAAACACTGCTTGGCAGGCTGATTTCACTGGAATTTTTAAAGTATACTTTAAGAATTAGTTCCGCCATGGAAGTAAAGGTAATCATTTTTTATTACATCTCTCTAGTCAATATTTCAAGAAGTGTCATATATGAATATTAACTTTCAGAATGTCTACTGCTCTATTCCCAATTCCAAAGTACATGAGGTTTTACACAAGTGAGCAATAGTGGCAATAAGGAAAAAGAGTGCTGTTCTTTATCAGAATTTGCCAAGTACTGGAAAATATCCCATAAAATAAACTACTGACCCACACTTGGTGCCACTGTCTGAAAAGCTGGAGACAGGAAGTAAAAACTTAGGTTTCTTATTATAGAGCAATGCATTCCCTCTCAGATGAAAGCATGAATTAGGTTTGAGGACAGATTCCAAAAACAACACATAAATTATTTTTTTCATGTAATAAAATGGATTACAATTGGACCCTGCGAAATGACCATCAGCATTCCTTCTATTTTTAATTTTTGCAAAATTATTTCTTTTATTTTGCTAATTTTCCTAGAATAGATGATTAATTGTGAAGCCTCAAAATGTTTCTCCAAACTCTCTAAAAGGCACTGGTAGTTAATTATGGTGATCTGTGATATCAAAGGGACAAATGGAGAGTTGAAGTCCAAGTAATTCCTATTATTTCATTCCAGAAAAAGAAACTTCCCTACTCCTCTGAAGGATATAGTCCTTGATGCTCCAGAGCTGAAATTCTACTTATAATGATATCATCTTAACACACATGTTAGTAATTATCTTCACATAACAAATTATGAAGCCAAATTTTCATTTATTAATTGGCATAAAACGTCAATGGTTACCTTTTGAGGTATATCCAAATTAATTTACTGTGTATATACTGTCAAATGAGTATGAACATAGCTAGAAATATTCATAATATTAAAAATCTCCTGTTTCCTTCAATACTGTTTTCACCTAGTATTGTTTCTTGTAATTAAAGAGAAGATTTAATAGCAAAAATGGAAAATCCACTAAAGACAGATTTCCAACTTCATGTTTTGATGACAAATCCAGTGAATATTTTCTGACTGCATGAGGCTATACAGTTTAAAAAATTGTGATTATATGTCAGCATCTGCCAGTAAGTGCTCCTTTGTCTTTCTAGAATGGAGGGAACTTCCACAAGGGAAATAAAAGTTGGTTGCACTGAGGTGTTTTTTTTTTAAATTTATTTATTTATTTTAATTGGAGGCTAATTACTTTACAACACTGTAGTGGCTTTCGCCATACATCAACACAAATCAGCCATGAGTGTACACGTGTCCCCCATCCTGAACCCTCCTCCCACCTTCCTCCCCATCCCATCTCTCAGGGGTCTCCCAGTGAACTGGCCCTGAGTGCCCTGTCTCATGCATTGAACCTGGACTGGTGATCTAGTTCACATATGGTAATATATATGATTCAATGCTATTCTTTCAGATCATCCCACCCTGGCCTTCTCCCACACAGTCCAAAAGTCTGTTCTTTATCTCTGTGTCTCTTTTGCTGTCTCGCATATAGGATCATCATTATCATCTTTCTAAGTTCCATATATATGCATGAATATACTGTATTGGTGTTTTTTTTGTTTGTTTGTTTTTCTGACTTACTTCACTCTGTATAATAGGCTCCAGTTTCATCCACCT